TCCTTCAAAACATTAAAAGTGATACTTTATGCCCCTAAACTCTTAGAAATTTTGTTTGGCTCCAAAAAGGTTTTCCCAGCTTGGCCCCTATAGTAAATCAAACAACACATGTTTATAATTTATTTATTTTATTTAATTTTTCTTTTTTTCAATTAATTAAAGATTTAAAAAAGAAAAAGTAAAAATATATGCGGTTGCACATGAATTTGGATGCATAACAATGCATGCATTGAAATTTTCTTCATTTTTGGTAGTGAATTCTTAAATTATAAATTTTAAAAAAATGAGTTTAATTGGATTGAATTGAAATAATAAATTTTGTCAAAATTGAATGCTAGGAGTTAAATTGACAAATACAAATGTAATATAAAATTAAAACACATCATTATTAAATTACATATCTTCATAAATTGACAGCAGCACTCAAGCATTACAATAGTTTGTGTTCTTATAGCACCAAATAAATATACGTGAAATGAGTTACATATACTAAACTATTATTGAAATAACCCAAATTTTTATTTTCAAAATTTTTCATTTAAAATTTTTAATAAATTAACACCCAATGAACTTATTTAACCAGTTAAATGTAAATATATAATTTAAATAGTTGAATCAACCCCACATTAATTAAAAACCCGAATAAAAACTGATTAGAAATCGAAAACCACACAAAATCACGATTTGGATCGAACCAAACCCGGATCAAACCAAATCAGCTCCAAAAACCTTCTAGAAACCCCTCTCCTCCCTATTTTCAGCGTGAACCTGTTTCTCCCTTGCTCCCTCTCATTTTTTTTATGGTCACCGGTGACTCGCTTGCGCCGCCTCTCCTTCGCGCTGCCGTCGCCTCCCTCATCCAGCGCTGCTCTGGTTCTCTCTTTCCCTCTCTCCTTGTTTCCGTTCTGGCGAGTGCAAGGGCCACCGTGGAGCCGCGGCCTCACCCAGATCAAAGTAGTCGCGACTCCGGCCACCAGAAACGGGCTCAACGAGCCTTCGTCGACCCACCCGCGCCTTCACTCCACCACCATCGCCCCTGCAGTCGCGCAGCGAGTCATTTCTTCTCCCTCAGCTCGATCGCGCCTCCGCCGTCTCCCTCTGTTTCCGTTTGGGCAAGCAGCAGCACCACCAGTCGCCGCCGCTTGACGTCGCGCCTCCTGCTCGCGACTCCGGTGAGAACAGCCGCTCAAGCGAGCAGCGGCTCCTGTTTCGGTCCACCTAAGCCACTGTCTTCGCTCCTCTCGTTCCGGCGCGCGTCACCGCTGTCTCCGGCCAAGCAAAATTCTGGCGGTGTTGCGCTTGGTTATTGAAATTAATTCTAGTTATTTTCAAAAAAAAAAAAAAATTAATTGAGGTCTAGTATTTGTAGCTAGTTAATTTAATTTAAGTATGGGTAGTATCCAATATATTTTAAAGTGTTGATTTGATTAGAGGACTTTAATTAATTAAAGCCAATTTAATTTAGCACCAAGTAATTTCAATTGGGGAAATTCGATAATGATATTAATGGAATGAAAACGTGGATTTAAGGTAGACTAGATTGAATGTTATTTTAATTTATAAACTATGGATGAGTGGTGATGTTGAGGGTTGAGTATAATATTGATATTGTTATTTGGATAGAAGAAGGGAAAATTGAATTGTTTAATCGCCAGATGGATGGGCTGTGTGTGATGATTGATATATATATATGTGTGATTTTTGTTCGGATAGTTCAATTTTTAGGAAAGATGCTGCCGAAATTTCGGCAGAATCTAGTCTAGGTATAGCAAGTTAGATTAGTAAATAATTTATTAGATTAATTCTTTAATTCTCCATTTAAATTTAGTCCTTTATCTGATGCATTTCTTTCCTTGTATTCGTCAAATCTTTAGATCGCTTGGACCCATTTATTGCTCCTTCCGGTCAAAATTCGAGTTAGAGCTTCTTCTTTCCTCTACCACTATGAGTAATAATAAATAGTACATACCATTATTGTATTTGCATAACATTTATTTTATAAACATTATATATATATATCACTATGAGTAAAATAATAATAGTACATACCATTATTGTATTTGCATAACATTTATTTTATAAACCATTATATATATATATATATATATATAGTATTATATATATATATTCATTTTTATTATTACAACATTATTAGCATATCATTATACATCTTTCATAAATATATTATGTTACTACTAATATATAATTACATTTTTACGTTTGCGCATTAAGATTGATTTGGTATATTATGTTGAATGAATTCCTTGATTACTTGTGCTATGGATTTGCTATGCTTTGTTTATGTGGAATTGGGATGAAATGAGGCACCACGGGTTTGTGAGGATTGCCTGCGATAACATTAGCTAGGTATGGGGAAATCAGCACCCGGATATGCACCTGATGTTACGTAATATGGAAAAATCACGAGGTGGCCGTCTGTTGATATGAAAATGAAAAGAGAGTATATGAAAAGTGAATATGGGAGAGGGCTAGTCAAATGAGGATTAGAACGGTCGGCCAGGTATAGGGGATCGGCTCTCTAGTGCACACGTTTGAGAGGGCGGGCCATGTGAGAGGACGGCTCATCGGGGGTTTTTGGTGGTGCCACTGACTAATTTCCACTTGTTTGATTATTTGAAGGTGAAATTACTCATCGGGGGTTTTTGGTGGTGCCACTGACTAATTTCCACTTGTTTGATTATTTGAAGGTGAAATTACTTGTGGTCAGTGCTTATGTTATGCCATATGATTGATTGGTTGTGTGCTCATTTTAGTATCTTAGAGTTCATTTCGCGTGTCTGTGATATGTATTATTTATTATTATTCATTGAGTTATAAAACTCACTCTTCTTTTACTTAACTTGTCAGGAGTAGAAGCCCATCGACCGACTAAAGCTCTGTAATTTTCTCCGCAGGGTTATAAAAGTAAATTTTTAATTTCTGCAGTTAGTTAATTTGTGCATTGTTATAAATATAACTCCATTACTTTCAATCATTGTTGAACTTCGCAGTTATAGGATTTGTGTATCTTTAATTTAGCCTTTAAATAGGTGTGCTAACATATGAATATTCTTATTGTTTACTTAAATAGATATGAATCAGTAGCCTATATTGTGAATGAGATGTATTATTATTAGACTCGAATTAAATTTTACTCGAGACATTTGAGATTGGGCCAGGATTGTATGATTACTAGATATATACAAATTTATATGGGCTTACTATTCCTAATATTTCTTTGTGGCATGTATGGATTGATGATTTAGGCTTATTACGGGTCTCGAGAGCCTTAAGCTTACTTGGACTCTAGTACCGGTTCAGTCTATGAAAACGGATCGTGACAGTTACAAAAATTTATTTTTTTATTTTTCAGATTAACTATAATTTAAAAAATGATATTATAAGAAAATGTCAATCAACTATCTTAATTATTATTAATAAAATAAAATTAAAAAAGTTATCATTTTATCAAAAAAAAAAAAAAAAAAAAAAAAAAAAAAAAAAAAAAAGAAAAAAAAAACCAAAAAAAAAAAAAAAAAAAAAAAAAAAAAAAAAAAAAAAAACATCACAAGTCGGTGCGAGGGTGACGGATCCACACAGCTATTGTAGCAGCCTGAAAGGTGCCGTTGCTTCTAAGACAATTGAAATGTCACGTGTAGTAAAATCGTCCATTCATCAATCATTTAATTGTAAGGATATAACTGGCTAAGGAAATGAACAAAATGTGGGTGTCCATATGCCTAATACGCATCCTGTATATATATATATATATATATATTTTACTTTTGGTGCGCCAAAACAATTGTGTGATCTTTGGCTTTTTTTTCCACCTAATGACTCCTTTGTTTCCCACCTAATGACTCCTTTTTTCCACTACCCATTTACTTGATAAAAGAAAATTTTATCATAATATAATCCGTAAGTGCTCTTTAGTACCTCTCTTCTTCTAATTTTATTCAATTTGTTTAGATTACAATTTATAAAGATAAAGGTGAGTAACCTGAATTTATTTAGACTTGGTCAACCAATGTGGATCAATTAATTTATTTTTAGACTTGGTCAACCAATATGTCCTTTATTAATTTGGTATTTGAATTATGTGAAATTCTTAACGTCATGATTTATTAATTTCTCTAACCTTCATGTTAAGTTTTAAAATTGAAGAGACTTTCTAATATAGTTTTGGAAATTATTTCTTTTTTTTTTAAAAGGGAAAATGCACTTTTCATTAACTAAAATTATAGAAAGATAAAATGCAGCGTGGTATCGACTCTCACACCTTAAAACCTTAAAAAAAAAAAGGGTTATCTTAAACTGTTCATTAACTAAAATATTATTTCCATTGTATTCAAGTATTATCTTATAAAAAAAAAGTTATCAGCTTCATTTGTCATTTTAAAATATTATGTAAGTATTAGTTTTTTTTTATTATTATTTTAAATTTTACTCATCTCTTATTATCTTTACTAAATTATTCTGTTTTTCTCTAGTTATTATTTCTACTTATCACATTTCTCTCTTTCTTGTAAATTCCTTTAGTGACCTAGTGTAGATTGGGTACGTAATTGTTAAAAGTCCTTCCTTAAAATATTCTTAATAAAGCTACTAATTATCCGAAAGTATGATTAGGTAATTGTTAAAAGCCTTTTAATATATAATTAGCTTATAAAGAATATTCAAGGTCATAAGAACATTTTTCTAATCAACACATTAACTTTGAAAAGAAAACTAATTAATTTAATAAAAAAAAATCAATATATATTAACTTTATCAATTGGATTCAATGTCAAAAAAAAACTACACAGATAATGAAGCACGTGGTTAGTTGATGACTCTCTTTCCTTTCTCTCTATAAATTAATTTGGTTGGCATCAAAACTAGCATATACAACAAAAAAAAAAAAAAAAAAAAAACTTCCTATAAATTAATTTGGTTTGGCCATAAAAAACATAGCATATACAACAAAAAAAAAAAAAAAAAAAAAAAAGTGAAAAAAAAAAAAAAAAAAAAAAAAGTGTCTTTTTGAGTTTCTAAAAACGAGAAGAAAAGGGAAATATGAAACTCATAAAGAGGTCTAAAATACTTCTGCTTCCATATCCAGCACAAGGCCATGTTAATCCTATGATGAAGCTAGCTTTAGCCTTAGTTAACTGCGGATTCGAGCCAGTGATGATAACTCCAGAGTTCATTCACCGTAGGATTATATCAAGCTTAGATCCTAAGGCCAAAATTGTTTGCATGTCAGTACCGGATGGATTGGAAAAGGACGTAGCGATTGACTTCTTTGCTATTGAGAAAGTTATGGAAAACTGTATGCCAATTCACTTGGAAACTCTTGTTCGTCAAATTGATGAAGAAGATGGTCGTGTCGCATGCATGATCGTTGATTTATTAGTTTCATCAGCGATTGAAGTTGGTCGTCGATGTGGAGTTCCGGTGGCCGGATTTTGGCCTGCCATGCTTGCTACTTACCAGTTGATTGCAGGCATACCGGACATGGTCAGGATGGGTCTTATTTCTGAGACTGGTAAGTTAATCACTATCTACAATTATTAATTATCGACTCCCTATACTTTGCTTTTTTATCTTTTAATGGAAAAGGAAAAAGAAAAAGAAAAAGAAAAAGAAAAATGCTTGGCTAATTTTAGTTTACAATTAATCAAATGGCTATATTTATTTTATCATCTCAATTATAAACTAAAAGTATCACTACACATGCATTTTATATGTGCGGACTTGTACTTAAAATCTCATATCACTTTATAGATATTTGTATAAACTATATAAGTTAGTTCCATCATTCTTTAAGGCAATATATTCTATTTTGTAACTTGTGTATAAAGGCAATATATATCTAAATTTTGTAACTTGTGTATATATATATATATATATATATATATAAATATGATAAACTTTTTAGTATTAACAAACTCTTAACATTTTTTTTTTTTATATATAAATATGATAACTTTTAGTATTAACAAACTTCTTAACATTTTTTTTTTTCAAAACAAAATTTTGCTTCAACTCTATTTTTAATTTGAGACCTCTTAATCTTGAAAAAACCAATAATACAATGGTGCCAAAAATATTTGAAAATTCAATTCTTAATCATGTTTAATGAGGTGTATTAATTCTAATAGCTTAATTTACTAGCTGAAATGTTAAATTAAGTTTACTTAATATGAAAAGAAGAAAAATAAAATAATATAATTGCTTTGATAGGTACTTTTTTAAAACTACTTAATTTTAATAATTCTATTTCAAGCGTTGCACCTTTTTTCAATCCCTAAATCATCTGTGAAAAGTTTATTTATTTATTTATTTAATTAATTAGACTATGAGTTCAACCTTAGAGCAACTTTGTTATGCTTTTCTATACTTTTAAACTATTCCATCTAAAGAGAAAAGTGTTAATTTTACAAATGATATTAATTTTATTCTTTTAATTTTAAAATACCTCAGAGTATTGAAAAATTAGACAGACACGTGCCATATATTAAAACAACCAAATTTGTCGGGTCAAACCATCAAGAATAAGTCTAAAATATTCATGATGGAAAATGAGAATTCATTTATATATAAACTCTCATTTCTATAGTTCCATTGGGTTGTCTTGAAGAAGATTTCACATGTATAATTTATAAAGAAAGAAGGGTACTGACGTATTATAAAATCTAGGGTTTCCTATGCCACCATTTAGTGCATGTGCATATGCTTATTCTGTTTTACTTAAATCTACTTTCTTCTTTTTGGTCTCTCTCCGAGACCCAGCAATTAATGAATGTATATATTGTTACTCCCCAAACCGACTGACAGGTCTCGACTCCACGGATCAGGTATTCACTTAAAATGTACCATTTGAATCTGAATTTAATTATAAATCAAGTACCTAAACTTTTTAGAAATTTAACTTTACTACTTAGAATTCGTCTCAAATCTGATTGTAATTAGCTATATAAAAATTCATTTAGCATTAAAAATATTTTTTATTTAAATTTTTAAAAAATTAATAAAAAATATAATATTAATGTTAAATATAAAGTATAATTAAAAATTGTATATATATTTTTTATTTTAAAAAATAATTATTTTAAATATTTATGAAATGGGTGACGGGTAGCGAAGTTATGCTAGAATTATTTTTTTCCAGAGTCAATACATAATTTTCTGAAAAGAGAGGTCAAAACATAAATAAATTAAATTTTATGGATTAGTTTAGACAAATATACTTATATATATTAGAAAATTCAAAAAAAAAAAAAAAAGAAAAAGAAAAAAAGGGGTTAATTTACTAAATGGATCTGCCACTAGTAGCGGTTACCCCGTCCTTGAACTCGAACCTTACTTGAACCCGATAGGGGTAGTAAAGATACTACTCGAACTCATCCCAAATCCGTTTATTCATTATTCGAACCCGTAAAATCGGATCGAATCGGGTTAAATTGCCATCTTTAGTTGTGTAGCTATTAGATGTTCTATTAGTAGTTAGATATGACTAATTTTTAGTGAATAGTTGTTTATGGAGGGGTTTAAATTAGAAATGTTCAATAAAAATAGTTGTTTAAGTTGAAATAACAAAAATGACATTAATTCTTACTTTATCCTTTTGGTTTCTCTAGTGACCGGTGATAATACTGTTATTTCAAAATAAAAAAAAAAATCTAATTTTCATTGATTTAGTTCATGACTAGACTCATAAATCAAGTACAGATAAGTTAATCCATTCTTATATTGTGGGCAGTGTAGATGGTAGATCTTCTTCCTATTCTAAATTTCCATAATCCTTATTAATAATAATATATTATCATTTTTATAAAGTTAATTTATTTTTATATATTTAAGTATTTAAATAATATAATTTTAACAATATATATACTTTATATTTTACAATTGATATATTGAAATAAAAAATAAAAAAAAGAATTTGTTAAAAAACTCATCTGACCCTATTCTCGCCATTTGAACAAGCAAATAAATATATGTATATAGTAAATATAAAACAGTAGAAATAGTTAAAAATTTCATATTTTGTTTCTTTTATCTTAATTTTATATCAGTTTAATATTTTAATTTGTCTCGTGCGATTTAATCTTTTTGTTTATAGAATCACTTTATTTTAATTAAGGAAGACAATTACCTGCATTACAGATTCTGTAATGCAATGGAGAAAAAGAATGGAGAAAAAGAATGTACATAGAAACGAGGGTCTAATTACTCATAATTGTTTATTATAAAAGATTTAATTAAATCTTTGCATATACTAAGTATCTAGTATTATATATTTGGTATACGCTTTTTTTTCTCTCTCTTTTAGGGTTGAACACGCGTACGCATGCTATATTAATAATAATTAAATATTAAAAGAATATGCATGTTGCCCCTACTCTAGAATGTTTTTTCCTTGCAAGTTCTCTGCATATTTTCCACTTATCTACTCTGCCATAGCCTTTTTCTCCTACCTATTCATTATTTAATTAGACACGAGATAGTCATTCCCACGTACGTATTTCATTGATTAGTTGAGATTTTCTATTGAGTCTACCTTTCTTGAACTATTCATACATATTTCAAGAATTATTTTCTCCTTTTTCATTTTTTTTTCAAGCACGATGTGATTCAAAAAGCAATAACGAATCAGTATAATAGAATAACTGCACTTGTTTTATTATAATTTAAAATCTAATATCGAATAAGTATATTCTTATAAGATGCCAATTAAGTGTGCTATAATTAATATTTTTATATCTTATAAATATATAAAAAGTGAGAGATCTTGTGTTTAAATTTATTTTTAATTTAATGAATATTATTTAAAGAAAAGAAATAATTCTGCATAATTAATAATTCTCTTCCGGTCAATTAGGGCTCCTGTTTATAAAAAAATAAAATAAAATAAAATAAAATTTATCGAATGAAATGCAACCCTATAATTAGACCGTCAAAGGAGGCAAACCTGTGATTAGGCTTGGCCACGGTTCCGGAACCGGCGGTTCCGGTTCCAGAAAAACTGAAACCGGAACCGAACCGAAAAGGTCCGGTTTCGGTTCTGGTTTGGAACCGTCCGGTTCCGGTTCCGGTTCCGATCCGGTTACGGAACCGACGGTTCCGATCGGTTTTCCGGCGAATCGCATAATTTTAAATTTTAAATTTTAAATTTTGAAGACCGGTTTAAAATAATTTTAAATTTTAAAATTTTAAATTTTTGAAGACGCGGTTTAAAAAATTTAATAAATTTAGTTATTTGTAAAAAAAATACATCTAAAAAATTAAAAAATGCTTCAATTAAATTTATTTTTTTAAAGACTTGAACTTAATTATTTTTTTTTAAAAAAGTTATTCAACTGAATTTATTTTTTGTTTAAAAAAGTTTTAACATAATTAAAAAAAAAAGGGCTTGAACTTAATTTTTTTTTGAAAAAAAAAAAAAAGTTGCCTATGTATCCTTTTGGGGTTTAAAGGAATCAAAACCCACATAATTCTTACTTACCTTATATCAATTTCACCCCTTTTACCTTAGTCGCTATTTGCACCACCAGTTGATGTTCCCGTTGAGGATCCATCGTATAAATCATATAAATCTTCATTTTCTTTCAAATTTTCTTGTGCTCTTAGTTCGGCCTTGCTCTAATCATCCACGCATGATTTTGCTTTTAATGAATCGGGTGTCATATGAGATCGTGTTTCATCAAGTATATTTCCTCATTGACTAAAAGCTTGTTCAACCGCAAAGTGGAGACTGGAGCTGCTAAAACTTGTTTTGCAATTAAAGAAAGTATTGGAAAAGTATTGGCGTGACGACTCCACCCTAAAATTAGAAAATTAGTATCTGCATAATCATCACCAAACTCAAAAGAAGTGGTTGGATAATTATCAAATTCAGAAAAAGAACTGGATTCTCTTGGTCTTTTTTGTCTTTGTAGTTCCGGACCGGTTCGAACCGACGGTTCCGGACCGGTTCGAACCGACGGTTCCGGTTCTCGGAGCCGTAATATGGCCATGTCTACCTGTGATACATTATGATGTACGTTGATGTAAAATACTAAATGCTATTATACAAAATTACTAAAAAGCCACATGGTATTTGTCAGGCAGTCCCCAACATTCGGGTCCAGTACGGTTCTTGCCAAATCAACCATTACTATCGATTGAGGATCTGCCATGGTTAATCGGAAACCCAACAGCAAGAAAAGCAAGATTCAAGTTCTGGACAAGAGCAATGAATCGATCAATAGATCTTCAATGGCTGCTTGTCAATTCCTTTCCAGATCCCCTCGATAATAATATTTACAAAATTAATAAACCACAATTCCACAACAACTTTACGGCAGCAGGTAGGCCATTTCTCATTTAATTCTTTAATGTTAGTTTCGATTGCTAAATGATATTTGATTAATTAATTATCTCACTATTTTAAATATTATATTATTAGTCAATTATTAGCATATGAATCTTTAAATACATGTCAGTTTTTCTGAAATAAAGTCTAATTTCACCTCCTAAACTTGTTATTTAGAAATAGAACAAATCTATCTTTTGACACAATTTACTTCTAACTTGTAATTCAAGCTCAATTTGTCCTAAAGTTTTCAAATTCACGCGAGAAAATGGACAAAAACGAGTATATAGGCAAATACAAGGGCTTTTTAGGCAAATTGAGCATGAATTACAAGTTCGTTTTTTGTCCTTGTATAACAACTTACAAGTAGCAAAGTGAGCTTTTCTTCTCCTTTAACTTTAACTATTTGCTTCTTTCCCTTAAACGGTGAAAGCTTTGCCCCTTTGAATTTAAATTTTTTTTGGCTTCGCCTCTAAATGCATGTATAACAATATAGATTAGTTATTAATTTAGTATATTATTACTATTTTTTTTTACACTAATTAAAAATATTTTTGGTTATTGCCCTGACAGGTAAGCCACTCGTCTACCAAGTTGTACCCTTAACTAATAAGCACGCAACAAACAGCAAAAACCCTAGCTTTTGGGAAGAAGACACGACATCTTTACAGTGGCTGGACGAGCAAAAGCCAAACTCAGTAGTATATATCTCATTTGGCAGTTGGGTTAGCCCAATCGGAGAATCAAAAGTGAAAAGTCTAGCACTTGCATTAGAAGCAATGAAACTGCCTTTTATTTGGGTATTAGGGCTAGCATGGAGAGAAGGGTTGCCTGTAGAATATACAGAAAGGATATCAAAGCAAGGAAAATTGGTATCTTGGGCTCCACAGGTGGAAATATTGCAACATAAAGCAGTTGGATGTTATCTTACACATTGTGGATGGAATTCAACTATGGAGGCTATACAATGCCAAAAACGCCTGTTGTGTTATCCGGTCGCCGGAGATCAATTTCTGAATTGTGCTTATATTGTTGAGAAATGGAAAATAGGAATCAAAATGAATGGATTTGCTCAGAAAGATGTGGAAGACGGACTGAGGAAGGTGATGGATGATAACGAGATGAATAAAAGGTTAATTAGGTTATACGACAGAACAATGGGGAAGGAGGCTAATTTAAAAGCCATGGCTAATCTCAATAATTTTATTGATGATATGATGAAGATGAGTAATGAGTCTCATCATGTTGGATTGTAAATTCAACAAGAAGTGTGTTTACATCTGCAGAGTAATTAACTGATTTTGCGAACATGATAGAATAATAATGATGATATTCTATATTGCGCTTCTATATTTGCTAGATATTTGGATCATAAAAAAGTACAATGTATATCACTTAAAAATTAGAAAAATAAATACTTTTGGCGATTTACTATTGCAATATCCCTACTCTTGGGTCAACTAGATGTTAATAGCGAAATCTTGTACCTGAGGTTGAGCAGAAATAGGTTAAATCTTATACCTGGATCAGTTTAGTTCGGTTTAGATTTTGAAGTATTCACTTTAACTTTTATTTTAATAGAAAATTTTTTTAAAAATTGGTTTGGTTTAGTTTTCTTTGTACAAAATTGAAAAATGTAAACATAAGTGTTACTATTCGTATAATTACAGAACCAAGCAATCAATCGACGTTTCATCTATAGTTTAGTTATTCTCAATCATAATTGGGTCCAAGTCCACAATCGATAAAGAGAATTCCAAAAGTCAAATACAAAGTGGATCATGACCGCATAAATTTTGATTACAATCATGAATTAAAGACTACAATCTAAATACAATTCAAATAAGAAGTATTCTAACCTCTATATAAATGGTCTCAAACTCCCAATTCAAGAAAATTTCACACTTATTCAAGTACCTCCTAAAACTAAGGTAAATATGGAGTAGCTTATAGACATAATAAAAGATCTAAAAAATCAATTAGCAAATCCAAGGGAAGAAATTCTTGGATTGTTAAGGAACAAGCCTTCCGCCCATCAAATACCAAGCCCAAGAAACAAAAGAGGTTCAATCATGGGCTTTTTTCCAAAATGGTGTTATGAAAAAAAATTATTTCCGAAAATGGTGTTCTGTGAAAAATATGTACCAAAATGGTGTTTTGTTGACATTTTAAAGGCTTTTGTTCCAGTTATAGTATAACAAATGCATTGTCACATTATGACCACAACAAAAGCAATAAATTTTAATTTGTTTTAACGCTGTCCAACAGCTTTACAGTTCAATATTCTCCCTTATCTCTCCTTATTGAATGTTACACTATAGGTGAAATAATGTCGAATTTTAGGTAGCCATTAATTCATTAGACGTATTTCGAATTTTCATAAATTGCCAGACTAATCAAATATCAAATTATTATTTCATTCACCACATGAGGGTATTTATCCTCATAATCAATGTCAGTTCTTTGTAAAAACTTATGCAACAAGTTTGATTTATATCTCATAACTCCATTTCAATTCCGCACAAATACATATTTGTATTCTATTGGCTTGACATCTCTTGATGCCCATATTGAAATTTAAAATTTTACTTTTCAAGTAAGTTAAATGTCAAATGCGTCGTTCTATATTCTCATTAGATAGTTCTCAAGATCCTCATAATCTTTCAAAAGTTTGATTATATCTCTCATAACTCCATTTCACAATTCCGCACCCAAATACATAATTTTTTATTCTATTGCGCTTGAACATCTCTTGATGCCCATATTTGAAATTAAAATTATTTCAAGTAAGTTAAATGTCAATGCGTCGGTTTCTATATTCTCATTTAGATAGTTGCTTGACATCTCTTGATGCCCATATTGAAATTTAAAATTTTACTTTTCAAGTAAGTTAAATGTCAAATGCGTCGTTCTATATTCTCATTAGATAGTTCTCAAGATCCTCATAATCTTTCAAAAAATTTAGCGCTATAACATAAAAATATTGTTGGCATTTCTTTTATATTGGTTCCATTTTGTCCTCACATGACATAATTTATAGAGATCTCATAATTTTCATTCATTTTAGGAACCTAAATTTTTTCGGGAAACTTATTAATTATGTCTAGGATCTCTTCTAAAATTTACTTTTCTAGAACTTGACCATCTTGAATATTTGTTCCTTTTCTTTTTCTAGGATTTTTATCCTTAGAGCCGATTGGTCTACCACGCTTTAGGCATGTCTTAGACTCATTAGTATAGGCATTTTGTCCTTCGGAAACTTTAATTCTAATAGAAGCAATTTGCAGCTAGTATGTGAGATTTAATTATCTCCTTTTGGATCAGTAAATATATCTGACAACTAATTTGCAATATTTTGCAAAAGAATTATCTTTTAAACTTTTACATTCACACTGCCTTGTATGAGGATCAAGATATAATAACGTTAATTCTTTTCCAACCAATTATTTTTCCAGCTGCTTATTTTCTCCTCTTAATGTCAAGATCCATAACAATTAGCAAATTCGACATATATAAATTTTTTATTTGAAAATTCTAAATATTTAATCATAGATCATACCCGACATATATTTTCAAACTCCTTTCAAGGACCCATCATAGTGCGTTGTGGTGAAGCAATTAGAACATATATTGCACATTTAAAAAATTCTTCGATGGGTAATATTTAGTTCTCGATCCAACACCAATTACAAAAGGGAGAACAATAATTTATTGGTTTGATGCTAGTAAATACTACTATATATAATGGCATGTCTCTATAAAAATAGGGAGCATCGTTCTCATAATAATTGCTTTGCAATTAATTGCAATGATATAATAAATGATTATACTAACTCATTTTGAGCATGAATAAGCAACAACTGGTTGCCCTATAATTATTTTAATTAACACACGCCATAATTATTAAAGGGCTGATGTATAAATTCGCCATCATTCTCAATATAAATTAGCTTAATAACACACTTTGAAAATTATATTCTTAATCAAATTATTTACGCAAATAATCATGCAAACTTCAAGTTACATGTTGACAATAATCTTTGCAAACTTCAGGTTGCAAGTTAATAATAATCATGTAATTATCTTTTAGATACATCCACAAAATATCTGAATAATCCACATGATGGATGAGTTGACCAATAATTTCACTTTATATATGCACAAAAAAAAAAAAAATGCAAGCAGTTCTTTTGAACTCTACTTGATGATTGCTAAATAATTAATTTGCTTTGAGAACAAACTAAACATGAAAAATTCATTACAGTTGGAAACAAAACTAAAAACATGGAAAAATTCATTACAGTTGCCACTTTATATATGCCACAAAAAAAAATGCCAACAGAAAATGCAAGTAGTTCTTTTGAACTCTGCTTAATGATTGCTCAATAATTAATTTGCTTTGAGAACAACTAAATATGAAAAATTCATTACAGTTGAAGAAACTTACTTGATGATTGCTAAATAATTAATTTGCTTTGAGAACAAACTAAACATGAAAAATTCTTTACAATTGAAGAAACTTCTAGTTCTTCAATAAATATCTATATAAAGATTAAATTTTCCTTTTCGCATAATAAATATTCATATAAGGATTAAATTTTCCTTTTTGCATCATTATTGATCGGGATGGTCCAACTGATCATGCCAAATAATAAAGTACTTAGATTTGTAAACTTCCGGTTTACAATCATATTTATTTCAATCATTACCTTTATATGATATCCATTTTGATGAATATTTTTGAAATGATGCATTATACATAAAATTCATTCCTCTAGGTAGCAATACTTGCTCTTTCGGAGCTTTTAAATACCCTTTTACTACTAAAGCCAAATTTGTCTTTCAATATTTTGTTGTACAACAAATACATAACCAATATTCATATATGTCACATTATTTGTACCAGTTCTAATAGTAAAATTTATTCATAATTACGTAGCCACCATAATTGCTCAGATCATTATTTCAACTATGATGTCATTAATATTCTCAGTGATAAGTATATATATTTTTCATTATTCATGTCCACATCCAATATCATATATTATTGCATTCATTTCAAGGAATACATTAAATCTAGTTGGGTAGATCTCACTATTCCCATGTTCAGTATTATGTGTCATTCCATTCACTTCAAGGAATGGAGAAAATCTAATTGGACAAGCTTCATGATATTAATTAGGAGCCAAATACTTTGTTTAATAATAAAAGGACATGAACTAAATCTAAAGTATATCATAAAATTTTCTCTCGATATTGCTACTTCAGGAGCATATTTGAGACATATATATCAGTAATAAATTTAGATCAAGAGCTTAATATAGGCTCTAAACATAATAACCACAATATCTTAATTACATGGATAATACAGCCAATGTATAGCAATAATAATAATAATAATAATAATAATAATAAAACAATTCCCTTATAATACTGCAGAATTATAATCACTTACAATTTTGAAAACTTTGTAACGATAAATGTATCTATTCATGATGAGCCTTTGGTAATTATACACTTCTTTCAAACCATTCGAAAAAATAAGTGGATATTTAATTATTAAATATTCAATAAGATAGAATTACTGCATTGGAACTATTTTGATTCCATAATAAATAATTTGTGCCTATACTATTAAGAGCTTTAAATTCAAGTTTTGTAAAGTTTGACAAGATGCAAATAAAATAATTATATTATACAAGAAGATATAACAAAAGATTTAATTATGTAACTAAAATTACCTTCATAAGAATCATGAAGACATACTGTATCACTCTTAGACATCATAAAAATAGTAGGTCCATTATAATCATCAGATTATATTAATATATTATTCACTCCAGTTACTTGCTAAACAATTACAACAATTATACTGTATAATTTATATAATAATAATTTTTTTTTCTTTCATTCATCATATTAGCCCAATATAGACAAGTTAACCAAATTAACACCATAAAACAAAAGAAAATAATTATTGCACATCAATCAATCCAAATATTAATATGCATAAAAAAAATTCTCAAAACTTTTTTTTTTTTTTTTTTACTTTGGACCAAACAATATTATTTACTTTTTTTATGGAAAATGATAGATTATAAAATAACAGATTGTATTTTAAATATATTTTGTATCAATGTGTAGATAAGATTCCTAATCTGTACAGCTAAGCTAGGATTGCATTGTATCACGCTAGGGGGGATTGCTTGTATTTTAAATATATTTTGTATCAATGTGTAGATAAGATTCCTAATCTGTACAGCTAAGCTAGGATTGCATTGTATCACTATAAATAGGTATTCTCTGTAAAGCAAATGCTCACGCAATATATCAGAAAGATATTTGCTTTC